TAAGTTTCATAAACAGACAAGCATAAAGGAGTGATAACAGGGTACAGGTAAGCTACAATACAGTTATTGCAAGTTCAAGAGCACAGTGTGAAGTTAACAACAGGACAACCAGGACAAAGAAGGGAAAACTAAAGGAAGAAGATACAGGATTCAAAGAAGAAATGGACATATTACCACCAGCCAACAATTGTTATCTGTAAATCAGTATGAGTTTCAAGTGGTATAAAGTTCTTTTGTTAGAAGCAAATTCAATAAAATGATAGCACCCCCCCCATTTTTTTGTGTCTAATTTTTTTGCTTTTCTCAATGATTTCATTTTATGTGTTCATTTTTTCTATCAGAGCAGTGAACCAGATTTCTTGGTACCAAACTCCCAGTAAATTAAAATGAGATGTTTTCCAATATTTTGCTAATGTTAAGACATCCAGTATTTCTGAACTGGATTTCCTGGTGATGAAGTGGTGGTTTGTTTGTTTGTTTGTTTGTTTGTTTTCCAAAAATGGCAATTGAAATCATTAAAGTATTTTAAATTTTGCTGCAGTTACAAACTAGTGCAGTGTTATGTTTCCTAGAACAATGTCAAATATGTATCAATGAGCAGGTTACATGAACCAGTTTTGTATCTTTTAACTACAGCAAGAGTCATATACAAAAGTGTAGGAAGATGAACAGAAAGCATCAAAAAGGGGGTCTTTATTTAAAATCTGAGATACAATATCTTTGGATAAACTGACAGCCAGTTGAAATGCATTGTCTAAGTTTAGAGGCCAGTAATTAGCTGAATGCCTTGTTCATCTTTAGTTACAGCTAATGAACATGAATTTGATAATTTGATTTGAATTAAATATAATACCTGCAATACTGAATGAAATTACGTATTTAAATGCTCTTATGTATTACGAATGATGTATGATCAGCTAGTGTATTTAGTAACATTTTTTCCCCTGAACAAAATGTGAAAAGTCCATGCACAAATGTTTCTAATATACATAACTCACTTCTTCCAAGACCATGGGATAATTTTATTTCATGATCATGAGTTATGTCATAGCGATGACCACTTTCAATATGGTAAATGTCAAAGGCTCATGTCTGTAGATTTCAGAAATATTGGTGTGTGTTTTTTAATTTATAGAGTCCCTTATAGGAGAATGTAGTTTTCAGTTAGAAATTGCTCATGTATTTTGGATCTCCTGAATACCTATTTCTAAAGCTGCAACAGTAAGTAACGCTGCAAGTCTGTCTGGTAAGGCTAGTTTCACACCTGCATTGCAAATAAAGAAAATTGTTTGTGTAAATACAGGGGCTAAGAGAAATGAACAACACAATGGATTTATCTTGTGCTTACAGTTTACTGTGTAAACTCCAAATTCCTTTTCACATGCTGGCTAGAGCTAGTGGGAACTGTACACTAGGATGGTGGAGGCCAGTATTGTTCCACATTTTACTACTAGTGGAATTTATTCTGAATTTACCCCAATTTAAGCCACACTAGAATCTAGCCCTTAACCATTTGGTTCCTGTGAATATTGCATTTACACCACTCTTCCTCCAGATCACACTAAACACTATTTCTGCTTTAAGTCCTTGAAGCAAAATACAAGGGTAGAGCTTGCAAGAAGACGCTGTTAAGGGAATCTGAATTGCAGTTTCGATCTCTCAGAAAGAAAATGTAGCTTATTTTATGGTTTCTGAAGTGACGGGGAAAATATCTTCCTGGGTGCTGCCTGATAGGTTTTGTCCTTTATCTCTGCTCAAGGTAAGGACACATTGTACTCTGCTCAGGGTAGAGGAAAGAGATTGACAATTTCAGGAAAAGAAGTGCATAACCATGAAAAATTCTGTGGTTTGTGTATTTTACTCTTACTTTTTTCTTTCATTACATCCACTCCTGAAGAAGGTGGAAGAGAAGATAGGAAGCTACCTTATAATAAATGGGACCATTGGTCTATCTGCTCATACCTTGGTTAAATGTGGATTGTCTACGCCTGGTGTGTCCATTAATTCCCCCATGCCCAGACATCCTTCACTGTATACAGCTCTTGTGCCATACTTTTTCTCAGGGAATCCAGAATTACCTAGTGTTTGGAAAATCTGAAAAGAAATCTGATATGCTTAGCTTTGTGGCAGTGAAGGTAGGGTTGCACCCTGAAAGACCCCTAGGGAAAAAAACTTATTGGACTGACTTGTCTAAGATATACGATTCACCAAGTCTGCCTTTGAAATCACAGTAATGGCAGCCCTAGTGAAGGTATAGTTACTAGAGAGGGGGACCACCAAGCTACACTTCCTCAAGTGCCCCTTTTTCCTTGAGGCGGGCACTACTGGAAACATGGAAATGTGGAAAGAGGACACAATGAACCCAGTTTTCTAAACAGATTTCCAGAATACAAAATGCTCAAGTATGGTCTTCCAGATGAGAAACCAATAAGAAAAATCTGAATTTTGCAGGTAAGTGTAGATGAGCCCCTAGATATTTTTATTCGATGCAGTTTTGAAACTGTATAAACAAAGAAGTGAATATGGTAGTTTTCAGTTGCACTCAGCTCCATTATAGAGAGGTAAGATGTTTGTCATTGAGTAAGCTGGGGCTACATATTTATAGTAAGCCTGCAACTCACATGAAGGTTACATTCTGGAGATCATGCCTAAAGCTAAAATTACATATGGTCAAAACTCACTAGTTCAATGGTGGTTGGGGTTGCCAAAGTCATTTTCCCCAGAACCCTGCTCATTTCCCACCCTTATATATGCCACCTGCATAAAGTTGAATGTGCACAAGTTAAATGGATGTTGCGGGCTTACTGTATTAACTTTCCCACAGGAATGGGGAACCTGTGGCCCTCCAGATCTTGATTGGCTACAGCTCCCATCAGCCCTGACCATCAGCCATGCTGCCTGGAGCTGATGAGAGTTGCAATCCAACAACATATGGAGGATTGAAAGTTCCTCATTCCTGCTTTTAACATGTCAAGAAGATCTGCAATGATTCAGTCACTGTGTGGGAAGTGCAAACACTGCCTGGAAATAGGAGTCGCCTTGTGACCTCACAGTCTGAACCGAAAGAGCAAGCCTGATCCATCCTGGCATTGGAGGCAGTGCATAGACTACTTCCACCCAACCTTGTTCCATCTCTCTTGGTACTTAAGGAAGCTGGGGACAGAGGAAGTGCCCTACCATTGGCTTCAATCCACAAGGTTCTTCCTCTTCCTCACAAGTAAAAAGGGGAAAAATATTTTTAAATATAGGGATATGTTCGTGATATTTGGATCTCGCACATCTATGCTAATAGCTGTTGCTCAACATGAAATGGAACAACTTTCATCTCTTTAGTGAGGCCAACCGTATATCCTGTTTTGCATGCATCAGAGGGGCTACAGAAAAAGACCCCACTGTGAAAGACTCAGTAGGAGTACTAAGAGAGAGCTAGCCACATCCTTGAAATGAAGTTCTGTGTGGAATGAGATAAAGAGTATAGAGCATGGAGAATGTGCTCCAAAAAGGAATGTATGCATGAATGTTGAGTGCAGCACATCCTCCACAAATGCATATAGGAACTGCTACACACAGGCTTAGATTGGTAGTGGTAAATCATAAAATGCAAATGATTAATAGGCTCAAAAGAGGGGAGGAAGGACATAAGAACATAAGAAGAATCTGCTGGATCAAGCCAGTGGCCCATCCAGTCCAGCATCCTCTTCTCACAATGGCCAACCACATACCTGTGGGATACCCACAAGCAAGACAGGAGAACAAGGACACTCTCCCCTGTTGCAGTTTCCAGCAGTTTCCTAACCATAATGTTTCCAACCATGGAGGCAGAGTATAGTTTTGATAGCCTTCTCCTCCATGAATTTGTCTAATCCTCTTTTAAAGCAACCTAGGTTGGTGGCCATCGCTGCCCCCATACTTTGACTATGTGCTGTATGAAGTACTTTCTTTAGCCTGTCCTGTATCATCCAACATTCAGTTTCATTGGATGTCCACACATTCTAGTGCTATGAGAGAGGGAGAAAAAACTCTCCTCTGTCCACTTTCTACAGGCCGTGTATAATTTCATAAATTTCTATCATGTCACTTCTTACTCAAATTTTCTCTAAATGAAAAGGGAGAGCCAGTGTGGTGTAGTGGTTAAGAGCAGTTGACTCGTAATCTGGCGAACCGGGTTTGCGTCCCCGCTCCTCCACATGCAGCTGCTGGGTGACTTTGGGCTGGTCACACTTCTTTGAAGTCTCTCAGCCCCACTCACCTCACAGAGTGTGTGTTGTGAGGGAGGAAGGGAAAGGAGAATGTTAGCCGCTTTGAGACTCCTTAGGGCAGTGATAAAGCAGGATATGAAATCCAAACTCTTCTTCTTCTTCAAATGCTACAACTTTTCCTCATAGGGAAGGAAGAAGGAAGGAAGGTTGATGCTTCCTTTTTAAGGTGCTGAAGAAAGGAGGAACAAGGAAAGTAATCCAGGGCTACTCTTTGAAAATTGTCAAGCACATAGGAGTGGAACCATAGTACCACCATGGTCTGAAGCCACTGAGCTATCCACAAGGATACCAAGCATTATGAAAAATGGAGAATTAACAGGGTCACACCTGTATACAGGAGAAATACGTGCCATGAAACAGACCAGATGACACTTAGAGCACAGATGGTGAAAGCTCTACTGTGAAGTCAACAAAATACAGCTTAGTCATTAGAGCACATAATTGTGATGAACTTATGGCAGTGAAAGCAGTGAGGAGGATCTACTTAGCTGCCTCTGTAGTGTTCTTGAAGATTTGCCCTGTGAAGCACAGCTATTCTTTAAAATCTGCACTCCTGAACTCCTCTGAATTTTGTAGTGCAATTCTTTAGCTGGAAAAGTACAAAAATGCACGTTTAGGGGAAAATGTGTATAACAATGCTTATATTAGTGAAAGTAACATACAGAAATGCATTACACTGGCAAAAATTGTTTTCCTAAATCTGTATGATTGCATACAAAAAATGTACACATAAATGAATAGGCTGTAGCTTAGTGGTAGAACATTTGATTGCATGCAGAAGATCCCAGGTTCAATCCCTGGCATCTCCAGGTAGGGCTAGGAATGCCCAATATCTGAAACCTTGAAGAGCTGCTTCCAGTCAGTGTAGACAATACTGAGTAGATAGACCAGTGGCCTGATTCAGTATAAGGCAGCAGCCTGTATTCCTGTGAAAATGGACAGATCCACCCATCTCTTGCCTAGGCTCACATGAAGCCCCCCAATGTTGTCCATTGGAATCCAGAGTGCTGTATATTTTGACACAGCTCAGGTTTGAGATTTGTTTGGAGCAATCATTGTACTTTGTTCCAGAGGAGTGGCTTGAAAGCAATGACCTGCTGAGAAGCATTAAGAGGAGAACATTTGGAAAACTCATCTCTGCGACAAACAACCTTGACCTTCATTGTGTGTGTGTGTGTGTGTGTGTGTGTGTGTGTGTGTGTTTGCATGTGTGTTGTCCACTAGCTTCTCTCTTAAGCAAAAGTTATTAATCTTCAAATGCTCAGGAAATGTTCAGTGGGGGGGGGGGTGAAAGGGAGAGGGGAGCTTCTGGCAATTACTGAACTCTTACAGCATTTTAGAGTGGAGAAGGGTAATTATTGTCACTCTCCCCCCCCCCCCTTTCCTGCTCTCTCAGCGTGCGGACGGAACATTCAATTGAGTTTTGTTCCTTACTAAAAGCTCCCTTTATAATTTTAGTATTATGTTGATAAATGCCAGTAATGAGATGGTATGTGCTTTATTGCTGGTGTTAACGCTCAATTTCTGTCTGATGGTTTAATATCAAAGTATAATTTCTCCCCATTATTTAAAATGAGCATTTCAAAAGGGGGCTTTTGCAGCTCAGCTGTTCTTTTCAAAATGAAATGCACTCTTTGGCATTGTCTGTCACCTTTGCCTTTTGTCCTGTGCTACAGAGCGGTTGGCGCTTGCATTCACCAAGAGGATGACTAATCAAGTCATTTCACAGCAGTGGCCCTTGGAAGGCTGACCCCCAAGGTGGCTCCACTCACAAAGCCTCAATGTTGACAACCAAATGTGCCGAATGAAAAGGGGGAGGGCAGGGGGAGAAGGAAAATTATCTCCTGTGACCCAGGAAGGCTCTTTCCTTTCACAGGAGTGAGCTGAATAAATGTTGTTTCTTTGCATTAGGGAGAAGACAAAGAAAAGAGACATAAAGGTGGGATTGGTCCATGGGTAGGCAAACTAAGGCCCGAATCGCCTTCTCAATCTGGCCTGCAGACGGTCCGGGAATCAGCGTGTTTTTACATGAGTAGAATGTGTCCTTCTGTTTAAAATGCATCTCTGGGTTATTTGTGGGGCATAGGAATTCGTTCATTTTCTCCCCAAAATAAAATCTGGCCCCCCACAAGGTCTGAGGGACAGTGGACCGGCCCCCTGCTGAAAAGGTTTGCTGACACCCTGGATTGGTCGAAAAAACATCCCTTCAATGAAAACTGTCATGGTGGATATCACCATTGCAATGAATAGGCACCTTCCCTCAGCCTTGGTGCTGTTGCCTGGGCAGGACTTTGGTGAGGGAGATAGATGTCCAGTGCCTCTAAGGAAAAAAAAGACTGGCTTAATGTTTTATAAATAAGTGAAGTAATACACATAGCCATCTAAAAACAATCTCTCAGAAGCCCACTGATACCCTAGTTAGTTATTTTAGGAGTATTTATATCCCACCTTCTAACCAGTGTTCTTGAGGCACCTTAGAATATATCTGAAACACAACAAAACAGATAGTGATGGACCAAGATCATTTACCTGGAAGCTAGCAAGTGGTTATCTGTGTGGTTTTGCACTATCAGCAGCCTTGGATCTGAAGGGGTTAGGTCAAGAATAGAAAATAACTCCTCCAAGTCCATCTTCTGAGCCTTATATTGGTGTAAAAGCAGGCCTCTGAATTCAAGTTCCACTCTTGATAGATGCCACTTAATTGTTTAGCTACTGAATCTGATAGGGACTTGGAGAGCTCAGACCTACCTCTTGATTTACCTCCAAACCATCACCAACTTCAGTTTCTTAGCTGGTAGGTCCTGTCTGCCAGACAACAGTCAGAATTCCTGTCACCACTAACCCAACCAGTATACCGTGTGTGTGTGTGTGTGTGTGTGTGTGTGTGTGTAGAGAGAGAGAGAGAGAGAGATGTGGAAATGTAATTTGTCAATGGCTTCTATATGGGAAAAAATAAGAACTTGAAATGGGTTAAAGGTTTGACCTCTCAGTGGAGGTTTTTCTTTGGGGGGGGGATGTGAGGTGGGGAAATCTACTTCAGAACTTTTGTGTTTGCAGCTGTCTATTTTACTTTTACTTCTTTTCTTTTACTTCATCACAAAGTGCACAGTTAAACTATGGAACTCCCTCCCACAGGAGGCAATAATGGCCATCAGAAAAGATGGATTTAAAAGAAGACTAGATGGCTACTAGCCATAATGGCCATGCTCTGCTTCCATAGTTGTTGGAAACCGCAGGAAAGGAGAGTTACTCTTGTGCCTGAATCCTACTTGTGGGTAATGGACATCTGGTTGACCACTGTGAGAACAAGATGCTGGACTAGATGGGACACTAGCCTGATCCAGCAGGGTCTGCTTATGTTTGTATTTCCACTTGTTTACTCTCCATGCACTATTTTTTATTGATTTGCACTGCAATCACATACAGAGGAGGGTATGAACTGTGAGGCATTGGACACTTGATCTTGAAAAGACATATTGATGAGCTGCTTCTCAAGGGGAAACTTGCTGATGTAGCAGCACCAATGGCTTCAAGTTACAAGAAAGGAAATTCTAACAAAACATCAGGGTTTGTTTCTTTCTTTCTGATGGCAAGAGCTGTTCGAAAGTGGAACGTTCTCCCTCTGAAGGTGGTGGACTCTCCTTCCTCGGTGGTTTTTAAGCAGGGGTTGGATGCCCATCTGTCACTGATGCTTTAGCTGAGATTTCTTATTACAGGGGGTTGGACTAGTTGACCCTTAGGGTCCCTTCCAACTCTACAGTTCTATGATTCTATAATTAACAGCTGAGCCAACTAACTTTAAAACTATTCAAAATAAAAACAAATTAAAACAGACCAAGGAGCTCAAAATACAGCCTTATTTGTTGACATCTTAAACTGGCAACATCAGAGGGCACTGCTTGTTTTACAATTCAGCCGGCTCTTGTTGGTAAGCCTCTATATCTAAGTTAACTCCATCCCTACAAGCTGAGACATTTTGTTTGTTCTTCTTCAGACAATATGTCTGCCGTTTCTTCCTCATCTCCATTAATCCTGTAAATAGTTCCTGCGTGAATAAAGCCATTGAACTCCAGAAACTGTAAGTTATTATTCCAACCTAATGCACCCAAGCTACAAGATCTATTAAGGTGCCTCTTTTGGTGCACCTACACAACTCTGCCCTGCCCATCACCTTGCTTCTCCCTGTTTCCCTTTTGGTAAGACAGCAGTGATGGTGCTTCTGGGAAATTAGCACTGTGACTCTGTTTCATTGGGCAAGCCACTTCTGCTTACTTCTAAGTTTCCTTCGAAGGCTGGAAAATGTCTTCTATCTTGTTGTTGTTGTTGCAAATTGGTATAAGCACATTTGGCATCTTACTCACACAGTGTTGGTTTTGTTCCTATCTTTTATAAAAACTTTTCTTGAGAACTCATGGCCTCTAGCTATCCAGGCAGATAGTTGTTTTACTTATTGTTTACCTAATCTTAATGCATGCCACTGTTTTCCCAATCATATTCTGTAGTAACATATGCAGCACATGAACTCTACCACAGCTCTTTCCTTCCCCTACACAACAGGTGTTTTGCTAGCATGTCTAGCCTAACAGTGTTAACACTTGGAAAATTAACTTTGCAAAGATTAAAAGGACTGCATATATCCACTCCACCACCTAGATAGGTGCCCATTTATTTGCTCAGGTCTTGGGCCAATTTAATACCCTTTACTTATGGACATATCAATATCTTTGCAATGCAGTTAACTGCATTTTGGCCATGTGTGTGCACAGCAGGGAGTAGAGCATAGGAGATGATGGGTTACTCATTCACCACTTCCTCTCTCAATGGGAAATTTGTTCCCATGGCTAAGAGGCTATTCAGTTTGCAGCTACTCTGTGAAATAACTATCCCTTTGCAATTTATGGAATACGGTTTAGATAATGCAGCATACACCAACACACAGACACATGCACACTTTCAGATGCCTTCGTACTTTTAATGAAGTAATGAAAGGCAGGAATTTAAAGAAGGCAGTTTCCCGCCATGCATAGAGATCCACTGATTGTGGAAACTACAGTACAATGGTTAAATTTCTGCCTGAGTACAACTGCTAAAGACACAGGACCTCTGCTGTGGGCAGATGGGAAGGTGTAGGGAAGTGGGAAGCTTGGCTATTCTGGATATAATATGAACATAATAAACAGTGGCTAAAATGGAAATCCTTAAGGGTTCCTGTCTAAGTGATTTCTTACATTTAGATGCCATGCAGCTTTTAGCTGAAATAGAAGTGATTGCAATCATTTTATTATTATCATCATCAACGTAGTTTAAGCAAGTGGACAATATTTATTCAATGCTCAGCTCTGTTTCTTATTTGCCATTAAGTGATTCTGGAGTAATTTAGTCCTGAATGGCTGTATCTGAATGCAGATGAGATCCTTCCTAAATTTTGCCATTGTAAGTCACCTTCCCTATCTTAACATTTGGTGCTATTGCATTAACAAGGTGCCTCTCTACTGATGTGAGGAGGAGGAGGAGGAGGAGGAGGAGGAGGAGGAGGAAAGATTTGTGTTTGCTCTCTTTTCTCATTGAACATGCTGTCTCAGCTGTTTAATCAGGACAAATACAAACCATGTACACATATCTGGGTTTTCTCTCGTCTCTTGTCTATGGTGTGCTAAAAAAGAATAGCAATTGATGGTTTAGACAGCTTCTATTGCCGAGAGAGGTGTCCTTATGTAACTGTCCTTGAAATAAACTCTTATTTAAGGTAGCTTTATAGTTATACAGTTGGTCAGTGCTTTGGGATTGAGAGAAGCCCAAGTATATAATT